ATTTTTTAGAGACTTACATATATTTAGTTTATGGTGCCAAAACCTGGGATTGTAAGGCAATTAACTACGAAACTAATAACCATGAAATGAAATTGTCGAGTGAAAGTCGAAATGAATTTAGCAAATAATATTCCGCTAAATGAAAAAATTGAAAAAAATCGATGATCTGTACGAACTGATTGAGAAATATCAATGAACTGAAAAGTTTAGATTCAGAAATCGAAACGAAAGTAACTTTGGAGGAGATTGAAAATGAAGTTACGCTAAGTCAAGAATACCAGGATAGAACTGTTATATGGAGAGGAAGAATGCAACGATTTCTGGGGGGGAAATCGGAATCTTCTAAAACGGTTCATCAGAACGAAGTGGCTAATGTTGCACTTCCAGATGAAACGAAAGCAGTGAAGTTACCATGTCTGCAAATCTTAACTTATTACGGAGATTCGTGTAGATGGTTGGACTTTTGAAACCAGTTTGAAAATACAATTCACAATTATAGTGGATTGAGAAAAACTGAAAAATTCGCGTACCTAAAATCCTTACTTGGCGGTAATGCTTTAGCTGCCATTTCCGGTTTCTTTTTAAGTGACCAGAATTATGATTCCACAATAGAAATATTGAAGGAATGTTTTGGAAGACAAGATTTTGTTATCACTTCACATATGAATAAATTATTATCTCTTGAACCAGTGGGGAACATTTTAAATGTTAAAGCACTGCGTAAACTATACGATGAATGCGAAGTCAACATTCGAAGTTTAAAATCATTAAACATTACTTCTGGAAGTTACGGAAATATTCTCTGTCCTATCATTTTGCAGAAATTTCCCGCGGATTTAAATTTGGAATTTAATTGAAGTCGAAAAATGGTTGCAGGATTTGATATAAAAGAACTTACAGAATTCTTAAAAAAGAAAGTTGTCGAGAAGCTGCAAGTTTAATTAACTCTATGAAAATGAATCAGAAACCATACATTCATCATGAACAACGCACGAAAGCTTATCCGAATTATAAACTGATAGTTCCAACTGCTTCAGCTTTATCAACGATTGGATACAAATGTATATTTTGTGATAAAGAAAACCATATGAAATATAAATGTACTGAAGTGAACTCCAAAGAGAAACGCAACATTTTGAAATGTACAGGAAGGTGTTTTTTGTGTTTTGGAAGTAAACATTTAGCGATCAACTGTAAGAACAAACAGTTTTCCTGCAAAAATTGTCGCGGTAAACATCATGAAAGTGTTTGTGTAAATCCACATCAGCTGTCTCCAGTGTAAAAAATAAGGAAACCGAAACCTCGGCGGAAATTAAACATTTAGCAGTAGTAGCAATAAAAGCTCCCTGAGATATGTTGTGCAGACATTGAAGACAATAAAAGATTTTGAACTTAACCAATTTTTAACAATATAATAAAGAATAAAAACACAGAAAATAAATGTCAACAATATCAGAGTCTAGGAAAAATATAATAAACCATCATTCACAAAATAATATTTTTACCTGGTCTCCAAAACAACTGGCATTCTATACAAACAAAAATGTCCTAAACATTAATTATGCGGCCTAAAAATGAAGTTGGCTACACAGTCAAAACGTCCCTGATCAATGGTTGAGAAAACACCTGAAATTTTAAATGAAGTTCTTGAAAGCACTTAAAATCAGGCCTAACTCCGTTTGCACAAGGAATCGCCGCTCACGTATTTTAATTTTTATGCCATCTTCATTGAAGAACATGGATGCCGCCCACGGCAGTCACTCACATGGTAGAAATCTCTGGAACCAAGGAACTTTATTCTGGAACAGCCATCCCCAAACCGGAACCAAGGCACTTTAATCACAGGACTGCATGCATCCTTCTGAAGGGCTGGAAACCGCTCACTCAAGTGCCGGGAAAGCAGGAACTAGAAGGGTTGAGCAAGAGCTCGCGAGATACTTATAGCAGAATAGTAAATGACGTCATCTCACGGCAACCAATCAGCTATCGGCACGAATCAGCTTTTCAGATGACGTAACATCATGTTTTTTTCGTTTTTTTGCATCTCAATTAGGTTGAAACAGTCCGTTCTCAATGCAAACAGTGGGCAGCAAGAAAAGAAGTAGAAGTAACTACTATATTACATTAAAATAAGGACTAAAAAACTAAATAAACATTTCAAGGAGGAGAGATGATGCAGTAAAAGGTTTAAAAATAAGCTATATTTTCCAACATCCAGTGTAAAAATAAGGAAGACGAAAACAAAAATAAGCTATATTTTCCAACATCCAGTGTAAAAAATAAGGAAGCCGAAACATCGACAGAAACTGTTTAAAATTGTTCTGCTAAAACATATTCTAATGTTATGCTTCAAATGGTATATGCTGTGGCTGAAGGCAGAAATAGGAATTGTATTGTGAGGTGTTTTCTTGATGGCGGTAGACAAATCTCTGCAATTTGACAAGATTTATCAAGAAAATTACAATTTCCAGTGAAAGGAGAAACTGTTTTAAATCTGCATACTTTCGGCGAAAAGAACAGGAAGCACTGGCATCGAAAGAAAGTTGAACTTACTCTCTGAAATATTAACGACCCTGAAAAATGCATAAATCTCGAAATCATGGAAGTACCCGTCATAACAAATGCCGATATACGGGTACCAGATGTAGAAATCAAATCCAACTTCCAAGCATTCGGCGTCACTTTGACAGACTGCAGCGGCGCCGATGGAACGAGTCATATTTCTGTTTTAATTGGTACAGACATTATGTGGAAAATTGCGAGCAAAGAAATAAAAAAGATAAACAGAAATGCCGTAGCGATGAAATATGCCGAAATATGCAGTCTCACAAGCTAGAGATCCCCCCAGTGTTGCCATTGCTCGCTTTGAAATTGTTTAGTTTCTTAATAAAAAACTCATAAATACTTTACAAAATATGAAATAGATAATAAAACAAATTCCAGATGACCCATATTTGGGTAGAGATGTACGTTATTCAAAATTTGATAGCTCTAAGTACTGTTGTTTTATCACAATGAGAAAAACATACATACATTTATGCAGATTCTCCCATTGTTTAATTTCTTTAAATAAAATACAGGGTGATATTATTTGGTGGCAACAATTTGAAAAGTGATTCAGATTTTTAAAGTTTCCCACGCAAAATGCCGAAATGAAATTAATATGTTTCCAACACAAATTTCAGTTATTAACTAAGGATTATATGATACATTAAAAATTACAGCTGTTTATTTCTGCTTAAAACAAACTTCACTGAACTCCCCAGTGCAAACCAGTCATCTATCAAACAATCCAATCATCTTTTCCTTTAACAAGTTTGTGACAGAATACTGTATTCTTGCAGAAATATTACAGCATTTTCTCTCAAATTCCAGAGATGCATATTTTAAAATTGAGTCTAAGGCAAAATATAACACAATTCATTTATAAAAACTGTTAGAGCTTGGAATACAACAAAAAACACATACAAAAGTGGCAACATTGCTCAACTAAAGAACTGTTATGAACATGGTTGCCCGAAGATGGCTGTATGGTTGCTAAACATTGGTGCATTCTGAAAATTATGTGATACTTCAACTACGGTGGTTTCAATAATATGTAAGTACCCCTTGACCGACTGTGGACAAGTTGGTTTACTTTTTATAAAGAAGGCTATAAAGTTAATGGCTGTTTATGTTTTCCCTTCACAGCTTAAAAAAAGTTATTAAATTCAGGACCTGCCCTAAACAGAACAGTATGCAGTGGAATATTTAAAAAGCTGCAGGTTTCTGACACCAAGAAAGATGTTTGTTAAAGGACATAATATGTGACTTTATTTGAGGATAAATAAACAATGGTTATGTAAGGTGAAGTATTACGACAAGCAATTCAATTTTTTTTTGTATACTATATCCATAACTTATATTTCAAATGTACTTGTTTTGCAAACATAAGAACAGATTTAAAAAGTTCCAGCTGTGGCTTGTCCTCAACCTGTTCCTCCTTCCTTTTTTTGAAACTTACTGCATTTAAAAGAACAAAAATTTCTTCAGTGCACAAATGCAACTCTCACACAAGTGTAACAACAAGAGATGCAGTTGGATTTTTCAATGCTGCTACATCATTGTATAAAACAGACCTGCAGGTCCAAGCAACTTCCATTTATTTTTAAACTTAAAGGAATGTCTGAAGAGTCAGCGATTCAACTCAGATAGAAAGAAAACATCTACAGGGGGAAAAAACACTTTTTTAACATATTTAAAAAAATGGCATAAATGTATTAAAGAATGTGCCAATTTTGCAGAAAATAAATTATGCAGCTTTGAAAATAACAGACAAGAGTAAATTTTATTTCAATAAGGTTTGTTTTCATTTTTTATTTATTTTTTTTAACTTTAAACCTATCCTCAAAGTACCTTGTCCTTCAAATTTTGTTTGCTTGTTTTCTTTGTTGAAAACATTTTTTATCATCTCGAAAGTATAAAAACAAATAGTAAATTAGATTGTTGTACAAATTAAGTATTTCAAAGTAGATCAAAAAGAACTTAGCATTCAGAGGATTGATATACAAAATACTATAAATGCACATATTCTTAAATAACACATTTTACAATCAGTGTTTACATGCAACACAAAGAATTTTAAGCCATTTACCTTGAATTAAATTCTATATACTTATTCACATATCAAAAAACTTTTAATGGAATTTAATACGTATTTTCATTATCACATTAGTTTAGTTTTAATTTATTAACCAGTAAGAAACATTTTTAATATAATAAATACATTACAATAAAAAATGAACTTTTAACACAATTTTGAGATTTGAAAAAATACCTATGTAAAGAAAGAAAGGGCATTTTTATTTCTTACAAATTAAAAATAGCATAAAAAAATTTACAAACACTCGTGTTAAAATTTCAGACTGTTCTAAAAATATTTCAAATAAATTATAGCTTAATTAAAATTCTAGAGTTATGGAATAGAAGAAGTACATAAAATTATTTCAATAATGCCTCACCTGCCTCTGGTGTATGCTTTTCCTTCCTCTGTCATTCTAAAAGGCAAATCTTTTGTTCCATGATTTTCTAATTTTCGTATAATTACACCTTTATCCAGCAAAAGAGTTCCAATTCTCTTCAGAGCAGCAGCAACCTCTGCCTAGAAAGAAGCAAAATATAATTCAGAGCACTTCGAAATGATAACCTCACTTTCAGTTTTGTAAGTAACTTTAAATATCAATTATATAATTATTACTGGTCTTTAATGCCAATTATAATTCCGAAACGTCTTAAATGAAATGCTTTAAAATTTTATTCACTTTAAAGATGCTTAATGTGATTTATTTTAGTAATCCAAATAGCCACCAGTCTGTAACATAGTTCATTCCAGATTCAAGATGTTTTATCATTTGTCTCATAAGGCGGCATTATATATGCTGCTGCTTAATTCCTCTCGTTGTTAGTTACATATATCCACTGAAGGGATGGAACAAAAAATACACATACTATATATATAAAAAAAAAAAAAAAAAAAAAAATGAAAATGAATTGCAGGAAGTGAAATTTTTAGAATGAAATGGCCAATTCATGAGATTGCAGCAGAAAGGTTTGGTTGGTTGGAGTTTTTTGGCACAAAACCCATGGGGGTTATGTTGAGCCAAACAAAAGGTTACATATTTTGAAAAAAACTTAAGATAATAGAGACAAAAACACATGCACCATTCAGTGCATATTCATGAGTGGAAATTTAAGACAATGTTACATATAGGTATAAAATAGCAAGCAATAGACCAAACACATAAAATTCTTTTACAAAACAACAGGACATGAAAAACCATGACATACAGATAGAAAAATCCATAGTCAAAAGATCAATTTTGATGATACGAATAGAACTAGATCCAGGTTAGATCTTCTGAAACCCATATTCGATTCAGGGTATTCAAATAACGTGGCAAAACTTTGTAGTTTGCTGAAATCTCACAAGTATTAAAATAAAAATTTTGAAGGCGATTAAAATTTGGACAGTCAATTAAAATGTGTTTAACGGTTAAAATAGTGCTGCACTTAGCACATACTGGTTCAGCTTCACCCATCAATAGTAGCTATCTGCGTGTTAGCCTTGTGTGACCGATTCTCAATTGCGTCAGAAGGACCTGCTCCTTTCGGTTTAGGAAACATTTCCAATGTCCTATTTTAAGTTTTATATTTTGTAATTTATTGGTTAACTGGACATCCCAAAGCTTTTGCCACATGTGCATCAGAATTTTCCTCCCAATCAGAGTGTTAATATCTGAATAGGGAACAGGTCGGCTGGATGTCCCACAGGCGCATTTTGAAGCGATATCTGCCAGTTTGTTTCCTTTTATACCAACATGGTTAGGTTCCCAGCAATAAAGGATCCGGTAACCTTTGGTCTTGAAGCTAATATTGTGCAGCATAAAGGGATTCTGTTTCCAACAATCAGTGTCAAAACTGGTACAGTTGTGCCAGGCACCAGAATTTAGAAGAGATAATTTTTTTTGTTTTAATTTCGAGAAGCATGGCATTACAAAATTAAGTGATGGAAAAATTTTAGAACTTAGAGAAAGCATTGGGCTGCAAAATTTAGCAGCAGCAAAATTATTAGAATTTAGAGAGGTGCTCAACAGTAGAATTTTGGACACAAAGACCTTTCCATAGAATTCTGGATCCTACAATTTTCTTAGCACCAGGCTGCAAAATGTCTAACGCTGGCCCCAAATAACCTTAAGTAAATATGGGAATTTATTTATTCGGGACTCAGCTAAGTCTTAAAGCATGAGTGGAAAAAAGCATAAGTATAATAAATAACTACAATTCAGGCTCAATTTCATCAGCATGTGATAGAAGCCAGATAAAATTTAGCAGAACATGTCTTTAGTCATCAATCTCATTACATATAGCTATATAGTGTATAGCTGACATTAACTAAGCTTTTTCATGATTGTTGCAAATTTGAAAGTCTTCGGTAAAATAAAGCGAAATTTTCCAATTAACAGAATTTTTGAAGAAATGTGGAGGAGTGGCAATAAGTGAAGATGTTGTAACAGATGTTTTCCATTGTGATGACAAAGTCTTAATCATCAATTAACTAAAGGATGATGAAATCTGTAATGTGGTTCTAAATCCAGAAAATATTGCTACCTATAGTGAAGAAAGTCACAAGAGGCGGTTGAGAATGAAAAAATTTAGATTGACAATTCTCAATGCGGCAACTGCAGGACTTGAACAACGGAACTTTGTGACTGAAAAAAATTTGTCCATCTATAGAATTAAAGAGAATGTATATATATATATACAAAAAATGAAGCAAATTAAACTGGAAAGAAATAAGCAAACAAATAAATATTGAGCTTCTTTCTGTAAATTCTGAACTCCTTAAGGTCATCAATGCATGCTTCAATATTATTACAGAATGACTATTTCATATTTTAAATTTTCTCCATATTATCTTACTAGATTTAAATTGATGATCTAATATTCCGAAAAATTTGAGACCCAGAACTGTTGTCTCGAAGAGTCCGAATCACAGACTCTGTATTGTATGTGTGTGTGTATATATATATATACATATAATGAAAAAGCCATAGCAGTGTTGACGGCACAGAACGCAAAATGTTGAATTATTAATGAATAGCAAACCTGGCAGCTGTGGAGAATTAAATATTCATCTTTATTTCAACTGACATTTGCAGCTACAATTTACTTAGCACTCTAATTGTGCCTATTCAAGAATATTTACATTTTTGATGCTGTTGCGATAGAGAGAAAGCAGCCAGACAGTGTCTTAATGGGATTAGAGGTAAAGCAATGTGTGCAATTATGTAACATGAAAGCTCATCAAAAGAAAGGTTTCATTTCTCAAAATTTATGGTACACACATATAATATATATATATATCTATATATATCTCTATATATATATAGATATATATATTACCAAATTAATTTTAGACTATACAGGAGGAATAAAGCTGTTGATTTCACTTACTATTGCCAATAAAATTTGTTTGCTTTTGTAGTCAAGAAAGATTAATTTGATTGGAATCTAGATGGTGGCAAAATGGAATGTCTGAAATTATACAGAGAATATTGTACTGAACATAAAATGCATCCAGTTCGATGAAAAAATGGCTCTGAGGAACATGAAAAGGTCTGGCAAGATAGTGGCAGGCTGTGTCACACTGACATTTATTTTGCACCATCTTATAAACTTATAACAGTTTGCACATGGCATCCCATATCAGGAACAACAAACAAACAAACAAACAAACAAACAAAAAAAAAAAAAAAAAAAAAGAGCTGCATTTGTAATTAACTTGCAAATGCTCATATTCTAACATATCGGCTGACAATTTATCCACTTATTGAATAGTAACTTTCTCTTCATATGATCATTGCACAGCTACTAGTAACAGAATATCGTGTGCATAGGAGTTCGTTTGAACTGAATGCACAAGTCCGATGAAAACTGAACAAAATTTATTATTATCACAACAAAAATGCTTAATTTTCCTCAGATATTCCTTCAGTATTACAATATCTCATAGTAGTTATCTTTTAACTATTCAAACGTTCAAAAGAACTTAATTCCAAACAGCTAGAGAAAGCTAATCCACGAATTTACTACAGTCAACAAGAGCAGTTTTCTAAACAAACTCTTAAAACAACAAACTAAAATCACACTAAAACTGAGAGGTTTTTCTCCTTTTATAGGATTTTAAATCGTGCGCGAGAATTTTCTGGAACTTTTTCAAAATCAAAAGATAATTTATTTATTTATTAAATGGTATATGCACATGCTCTTGTATTTTTAATTTTCTGGCTTAGCTTTCCTTTAATATTTGTCACGTGCTGCACTGCATGGAGAATAAAACAATTTAACTAACATTAGCTATTTAAATACCAAATCCGTAACAATATAAACAGAATAAGGATTTTGTCTAATTCAGTTTTTAATGTACACTTTAAATTTCTTACCCATTTTTATTTTAGATTTTATGATAAAAAAAATTGGCTTCAGTAGATCAATACCTTTCTAATAATTGAGTACAGTCAAAAGTCTTTAATACGGACTCGTCGGGACTTCAGCGATTCCGGATTATCGATTTTTCCGGATTATAGATCATCAGTTTAAATCTGGTAAGATGGCATGCAGAAATTATAAAATTAAAAATATGAAACCGTAATTTATAAAATAAAGAGCAATTATGATCTAAAGGGTAGCAAAATTTAAAAAAAAAAAAAAAAAAAAAAAGCTTAATATTTATTTGTTTACTTTATTAAACATTTCTTTCAACGCACGCATACATTACGCATAGTCGAAATTAGAAAAATGCAACCAGAAAACTATTTGATGTGTACTCGTGATATTTATAATGATGAGGAATTTGATTTAAATCATATCAAAGACGGAATACATTGAGATGAAATACTAGATTTAGTAAGGAATTATAAGCTGAATAAAATAAAAACATCTGCCCTGAAGATAAGGATAGTGCTGACAGATCAACTTCCAATTCATTGCGGGCCGCTGTGTTGAACAACGCAATCTGCAACATTAACTGAGATAATTAGATAAGTTTAGCTTAGCTTATACTGTCCGTTATACATTAATCGTGCAGGCGTAAACGTATTATACGCATGCACACACGCATATACGCATGGCTAAAAGTATTACATGCATACATAAATGCCTATGCGCATGCGTCTACGAATTTTGCGTTGACGCATCCGCAGAAAGTTTGTAGCTTTGAGGTCCGGATTATAGATCATTCCGGATTATGGGTGTCCAGATTAACGACTTTTGACTGTATTGCTCTTAACTGTTCTTAACTGTATTCTTAACTGTTTATTGTAACGACTTTTGTCTGTATTGTTAACTTATAAACTAACTTTATCATTATTTGAAAAAAGATCACACTCACTTAATTTAGTTATTGTTAATTGATAATGATTGGTTTGTTCCCCATGACAAGCCAATTAATTTATGATCAATAACAATAGCTACTTTAGATTTCTCAAAAGTTCATTAACTTAATGGAACTGCTACATTCAAAATGAATTCTTTATAGTACTTCACTTTACTTCATCTCACTTTGATGTCACTAATTGGATTAAAACTCGACTTACAAGTTTGGCTTTAACTCAACTTGCCAGTTTGGCATCATACTTTTTACTTGAGCAAAAGACGAAATACCTTCGCATTTATTTATTAATTACTGTTAATTGAACAGGGATTGGTTTGTTCCCTTGAAAAGTCAAACACTTTCTAATAATTGCTTAGTTTATTAATTTTTATTTTAAGAGTTTCCATTTCTATTTTTCACAATTTAAATTCAAGTTCCTTTAAAAATGTTATTTTTGGGATTAAATTTCAATGCTTCTGTGTTACTTCATTCAGATACATTCTACTAAGTTTATATAAGGAGATAATATAATAAATACTACTTTATTACTGGTTTTGTTCCCATGTATACAACAATCTATTTTTGCTTAGAAAAACATCAGAGAGTTGCACACCTGCTATAATCAATTATAAATTATCAAGGAAAGATTATTTGTTATATTAAAAATTTACTTGCAGTGGACTTATCTTGCAATAAACAGAGAACATTCAACTTCCTTCCCAATTAAACCCAAAACTATAACACAGACATTTTTCCATTAATTTTTAACAAACATTTTTTTAAAAAATCATACATTTTGTCAATGATACACAAGAATGTCATGGAAGTCAAATGAGGCCAAATTTTTGCCATTCAGAAGAATGCAGTTTTGAAAATAACAAATAAAATTAAAAAATAGCCAAAAATATCCCATCTCCTTCACTCTGGGGGGCCCACCAGTGGCCGAGCGGTAAAGTCGCTGAACACTGGTAGTTCAGGCCGAGGTTTGAATCCCGCGAACGGGCTGGCTGCATGGGTATTTTCGTGGTTTTCCCCATATGTGACATGTATACAAACCAGTTTCCCTTAAAAGTCCTCCACGAAGACATCCCTCCCCTTATGCAGATAGCCCTTGAGGCTTTCCGTAATTAAATAACCTAACCTAACCTCCTTCAAGATATATAGTTGCCAAAATAAAATCATTATGTAACAACAAAAAAGAAAGATTACCAGATTAAAATCATTATCTAACTATGAAACACATAATTTCATATGTTGCTAGGCATCACTTTAGCCAATTAACAGAAAAGAACTATTTATATAGGTAATTTATCACTACTTAACAGTTGTCTTAATAATGTTTTAATCCTACCCTTTCCCCTGAGATTTAATCTCCTGTAGCAGTATACCGTCATTTGTGTATCTCTCATTTGGTAATTAATCTATAATTACTTCCATTTTCATCTTATCTTCATGGAAGAGGAATTTTCACTTACTGTAAAGAGTTGAATTAATGGTCTTGAAATGCACGGGTAAAGAATAGTAATACAGTCAAAAGATATTAATCCGGACGCGTTGGGACTTCGGCGATTCCGGATTATCGATTTTTCCGGATTATAGACCATCAGTTTAAATCTGGTACGATGGCATGCAGAAATTACAAAATTAAAAATATGAAACCGTAATTTATGAAATAAAGAACAATTATGATCTAAAGGGTATCAAAAATTACAAAAAAACCTTAATATTTATTTGTTTACTTTACTTTCCTCGCTATCGGAAGCGAATTATAATGATGAGGAATTTGATTTAAATCATATCAAAGACGGAGTACATCGAGATGAAATACTACATTTAGTAAGGAATTATAAGCCAAATAAAATAAAAACATCTGGGAACAAGATAAGGATAGTGCTGACAGATCAACTTCCAATTCATTGCGCCGCGGCGTCCCCCCCGCCGCAGAGCAGCGTGAAATTGATAAACAGATTTCGGAATGGTTAGATAAACAAAGGATATGCCTTTATCCATTTTTTGCAGCAATTCCACTTTTTGTTTAATGGACTTCGAAACATACTTTCACTTTGTAGATTCTTTACATATTAGTAAATATATATCGGAAATTCTATTTGACATAATCGAAAGTTCAAGCTTACTTTTATAAAATTGCTCTAACAGTCTGCAAAAAATAATAAGCCAGATCCAATTAGAAGATTAAGGAACAACGCAATCTGCAACATTAACTGAATTAAATAATTTTAGCTTAGCTTATACCGTCCGTTATACATTCAACGTGCGTGCATAAATGTATTTTGGGCATGCGCACACGCATATTTGCAGCCGTAAAGGTTTTACGTGCATAGCTTTGAGGTCCGGATTATGGGTGTCCAAATTGAAGACTTTTGACTCTAAAACAGTTCACATACAGTTTTGTTTACACTACATTTTCTTGTATAGCAGTCTACTTTCTGAATTCTAGGCAGTAACTAATTATGGTTCTAGTGTAGAAAAGGATGCCCTTTGATTTGGCAGCAAATACTGACACTGCTAACAGTTTTCTGGTAAATTAGAATTGACTCAGTTTTCCCAATGTTATGGCAGCCATGGTTAATCTTTGGATTATGGTAACTTGGCGATTTTTTGGCGACCAACCCTGCTACAGCAACCTGCTAGTTTTTTGGATGCCATTTTGTTTTCATGAAGCAAAGGCATTTTTTTTCCAACAATCTGCTAGCCGAATTACGCTTATGCTAGAACTTTTATGGAACAAAAGTGCTTAATCATGACGAAGATTAGGTGCGAAATTGGGAAAAAGTGCAGAATCGCCCACTGCTTGCCGCGTTTTTAAGAACTGCACATACACGGTATCATCCATGTACACATCGACCTATTTTCACTTAAAAAAACATCCCAGAATTGCACAAAAATGGCATTGCACACAGTCTTGACTTTATCCAAGTACACTGCTAAAGTCCTAGCTAGTAACCTTTATCGCCTTACCAAAATGTCGCCAAACTACCTGTTACCATATTCCAAAGATTAGACGCAGCCATTTTACCATTATATGCCAATGTTTTTGTTAAGTTTAATTTGACTGGAAGTTTTTAGTTTAGTGATCGAAGGCTATGTGATTTGTAGTACATGTATCACGTACTATAAATTACATATTTTGATTTATATAAATTTAAATTGCCATTAATTGACCTTTGGTTGTTTTTTTTTTTTTTTTTTTTTTTTTTTTTTTCCTTTTCTGGCTGGTTCTAATTAATTGTTGTCTCATCACTTCCTTTAAGAGTCCTCTTTTTTTACCTCTCCCTCCATAGATTTGGAGTGAAAGGGTAAAGTCATAGCTAATTGGTGTATGAATGAAGGTTTAATTAGTTCTCCCTATGAATGTCAAATTTGTAGAATGATATGCATCTGGTTGAGCTTAAGGATCAATAAGATTTCTATGAGTGGGTTTGTCAAGAAAAAGGTGCTCATATCAACACCATTGAAAGCATGTGAAGCCACATTAAGCACAAGTTTCACAAGTGGGGTCTTCAGCAGTTGTCACATGACATTCTGTATTCTTACATTGTGTAATTCATGTGGCATCACCAATACCATGATTAGGAGATATCAAGAGAAACAGGATCAATTTGGAGACATGATTTGCATTATGTACATACAACAATAATCTGACACTGACAATGAGACATAGACAAGAATACACGAGGTAAGCACTTTTGTTATTTTTGTAACATATATTTTTGGCACTGTTTCAGATGACAGTCCTCTTGTAACTATTGCTTTTTCTCGCTATTCCAGGCATTCTAAAATGTCACCAAAAATATCAAAAGCCACCCTTTGTAAAGTAAGTATAAAATTAAGACAGCAAATAGAAGTATCCTCTGTATTCCTCAATCATAACTCCAACAAATATCTATGCTAGATATTTTGTGGCCGGTCAGGGGCCACACTAGACATTTGCTGTTAGTACAATCTCTACGGATCCTAACTGCTGTTAAGGGGCACATCCCTAAATTCTAAAAATTTTGCTGCCTAGCGGCTTCTCTAGATTCTAAAAATCTTGCCATTCCCAACTTTGGTAACATCCTAGTATACGGTGCAGCCTTGGCACGATTTTGAAAATTATCGTCAACTCCAAAATGACCCATTTAACTACTCATCGTATATATCCCGTTTACTGCTCACCATAAAGTCGCCAAAAGTAGCCAAATCCCTTGTGCACCAGAAACTAGGATTAAACCCTAACTTTTGCTGCTCATTACTTCTCTAAAGTATTGCCACTTAATTGAGCCTTACAGTGGTTGCAGCGGCTCTGGCACTGACCTTGCTTCGGGCTGGAAAACGAACAAGGTTCTTAAATACACCTCTTGAAGTCAAGAGAGCATTTGCTGAAGATAATAACTTGGTAATTAATCAGCAAAATATATTGCAGTTATGTCAAAGGTACTGAAACAGTCAGATCTGGAAATTAAAATTAACTTATAATGCTGTAATTAAAAAATACACTTGGTAGAAAAGTTATATAATGAACACTTGTTATATAGTGATCATACAGACAGTTCAACTGATTAATGTGGCAATTAAATCATAATCTTCATATTAAAAATACTGAAATATGGCCGACAAATTTAATCAATTTAAAATTTACAGCTTTGAGTTAAAAAATGTCACAAACTTGGAAAGAAACAAAATTACCATGAATATTTACATCTCCAATTATTATTGATAATGCATGAAATTATTTATGCAGTAGGCTGATATTCGGTACTTGAAGGATTGCAAGAACGGCTTTGATTTGCTCAAATAGAATGACCAAATTTTGCAAGCTCATAATTTAGGAATGAAAAAGAACAGTCAGTTTCAAATACAAAAATGACATTCAGTTTGAATATCATAGCCATTACATGTACTAAAATGATTACGGAAAACTGATGTTATCAAAGAAAGTATTCGTATTTATGTCACCATAAAATATAAATGCTTAAAATCAAAAACAAGTGCATAATAACACTAAATACTGTCTACCGTCTCAGATTGTACATTCAAAATAATACCAAATGATTACACTTACTCGAGGCAATATTTTCAAAAGAACAGAAAATTCGTATAAAGGCATGGCTGTAAAAATAATTCCAGTGTATTAATTATCTTAACAATCTCCTTTTTTAACAACTCCGCATCTTTTCTACTTTCAAAATACTTTATCTGAAGTCTTTCAGCCTTTTGACGAATAATCGCATGCCAAAATTTAAAAATGTCTAGTAAACTATGCTAAAAAAGAAAAATATTTTGTGGGACATCTACTGATGCAGTTCATTTCACATATAATTTTTTCATTTTTAGATCTAAAATCTAAAATAATTCATTTCATGAAACATGAAAACATGACTGCAGATTACAGTCCAATCGCCAAGTGAAGCGAAATCGCACCAAATCGGGTAACCTCTTGGCTTAAATGCTATTCAATGCTTTTCGAACATTTACTGCTCATTTACTGCTTATTACAGTTTTCTAAATTTCCTGATAAAACGCTTTACTCCATTTTGCTACTGTCTTAAAAATGGTATATGATATTATGAAAACTTTTAATATTCTTGATCATATAAAATAGATAGTTATTAACTTTCAAATACTTTAGGTAAAGTGCAGAATCGCCCACTTATTTGTTTGGCGCTTTTTACAAGAGTAAGAGGAATTGTATTTTCGTCAATTTTCTCTGATTTTTTAAGTGAAGAATAGGTCGATGTGTACATGGATACCTAGTATACGTGCAATTCTTAAAAACGAGCCAAGCAGTGGTTGATTCTGCCTTTTCTTCCTTTTTCGTTGTTTTCTTGAAGTCCTGTTTTAGATATATTTGCATGTCTACAGAATTAGTTCAAATTCGTATGATGAGTTAGCGATTTTCTAAAAGGCGCGAAAACAACCGATTAGGCTACTTGGTAATTTTTTGAAAACGTGCCAAACTGGACCGTAATATCCAGTTTTACCTTTTAGCAGTCAGACTGAAAATACAAATTTTAAGCTGTAAAATTGAAAAAAGGAGCTCAGTATACATGTTTAAATTAAAAATAGGAGCTATGAATACATGTTTAAATTCAGGGCTGTGGAGTCGGAGTCAGAGTCGTAGCTAGGGTTTTCAGCGCCCAAGGACAACTGAAGATTTCGCGCCTCCTACTGCTTGCCAAGGATGGAAAACATTTAATTCTAAAACATCGTAACAACAGTTCGGCGCCCCTTGGATTCTGCGCCCGGGAACAGATGCCCCCTTCCCCCCCCTCTAGCTACGCCCCTGGTCGGAGTCATGGACTCGGAATCGGAGTCGGACAGATTTTGGGGTAAAAGGAGTCGGAGCTGGAGCAAAGCCCCCTGAAGATAACCCCCCAACCTCCCAACCAGCCCCTCCCTCACATGGACTGTCACCGACATGCGCAGTGGCTAATCGCACTCACGGTGCGAATAGGCAAGAAGCTATTCACACCAGCAACGTGCGCGCATGGGCACAATCAGCCCAGGTACCAGCATTTTACGCCGATTTCCGTAAAGTAGACGGTAGTGAGAGCGAAGATTGTTAACCCAGCAATAGAAAGGGTTGTTAACTGTTCACCAACAAGAGAATAATTTGCAAGTAATAATTATCGGTTTCAAAGACGAAGTCAATCTATGTACATGATAATATTCAGGAAATGATCAGATAAAATAGGGATTTAATGATGGTTCTATTTGCAAGGGAGGATGTGTAATTAGATAAAAAATCTTTAATGTATTGACAAAAAGGCTGCAGAAATTACTTAAATTCTTTTATTTAACAGAGAAATTTTTATGCAAACTTAGACCCTAGTCTAATAGCATTGGACTGTCAGAATTATTATTCAATAAGAAAACTTAGTGAAAATTACAATATTTTTATATATTCAGCACTTTTCAGTGTCCACTCATGTTTATAGGTTAAAATGCCATATTCAAAATCAAAGTTATTTATGAAATAAAACCTTATAAAATCTGATAAATCATTTGTGTGTGCAAATTTTTAAATCTAAAACTCTCTACATTAAATTTTCTGTCTTTTAAATTACATATAATTATTTATTTCAATTTAATTTATTAATGTCTTTGTACTAATATTTCAAAGTTCTTTGAAGTGCCTTTTCGTGTCCTGTACTTCTATAAAAAAAATAAGCAGGTATACAGAATTGTCAATAACCAGTATTATATGATTTATTTATTAGTTGATTTAATAGCTTTTAAGTCATTTCATGTATAAATTTTCTACACAGAAATCCTCTGTCAAATTTTTATTATCTTTTCTCGGACGAAAATTTGAAGCTAAATGTATTCTAAGAAGTACAAAAAATGTAAGCAAGATCCCCCCTCCCACTAATCAGTCATTTAATCTATTCCAACCGTTCAGGAAAACAATAAACATTGAGAACATAAAAATCTACTCTTTTTTATATATACTTTATTAAAAAGAAATGTTTCTTCTTTTTATAAGAAAAAGGTACCCATTTTCCTTTCTAAAATTTTGAAAGTCGCCAGCGCTTAAAAAATGATAAACTACGCCAAGGTAGTAACCCGCCTTTAAAAAAAAGATTCGGCCAGTTCGCGTACAAGGAATCCGTTACGGATCTGACAATTCAATGCGCATGCGTGATTAATGCTGGTGCGAATAGCTTAAGCGACTAATCGCACCACTGTTGCGGATAGCATCGGTCCACCGACATGTCGGCATGGACCTTATAAAAAAAAGACTAAGTCCCTCGTTTGAGGTGTTCCCGGCTGTAACCTTGATCACATCCAAAGGAGTAGGGACGACTTGCAGAAATTTAACAGTGGTTGCCTATTACAACGCATGTAATTGTCAAGAAAAAGCTAGTTGTAGCTCCTCATTTCACAAATTAGAATTTCTCCATATTTTTCTTTTTGAAATTGAGATTGATTTTTAAAAATTTTGCATATTTAACAAGCATAATTAACGTTCCAAATAATTATAAAGCTATTGCATGCTTTCAGGGCTGGATATTTTTTTAGCTTTTCCTATGATATTTGTAACCACTTCATTTAGAAAATAATATTTTAAATCTGAACTAACAGAAAATTTCAAACAAACAATTTTTCTCTTGGAATTTTTATGCATTTTATTGGTGTAAATAAGTAAAAAATACTAAAATATTTAAAAACGAATTTTTGAAAGTCTTGTTTAAAATTCTAAATTGTGCTGCTTTTTTAAAATTATAGATGAATATTATAGCACAATTTCTATAAAGGAATTTTATTTCAATTATATTTCGTAATACATTACAGTGATAGACACTTTTGACTCCTTAAAAATTTTTATACATTTAATTCTAATATTAAAATTGTATTTAACCGTAATAATTAATTTTGCTTGTAATTTATAGTGATTTTTTTAAATTTATTTTTAGTTCTGCATAAGATTTTTTTAGTTACTTTTAATTTAATTTATTAACCCAAAGGCGGGTAGCCTAGAAAGTCCGTTAGTTTTGAAGCGGCATTTTGCGCTGTTTTACTATAAATGTCCGTGTCTCCTTGAAAATTGTTGTTACCAAATATTATCTCCCTGTATTATATTTAAAGAAATTAAGTAATGAAGAATCTGCATGAATACATGTATTGTCTCGCACTGTGACAAAAACGACAGTATCTAGAGCCATCAAATTCTGAATAATGTAATCCTCCACCCGAACATGGGCATCTGGACGGCTGAGTTTCGAATTTGTTTCAGTCTATTTCATATTTTGTAAAACTTTAAATAATTAAAAAAAGTTGTGTGATATAGTTAAAAAAAGTTGTGTGAAACGCCATAGGTTTCAGTGTAAAGTAAACCAGATCGTCCCTACTCTCTCTTGCCGACATGTCGGTGACTCGCGCCCCGCCCACTGGGTTAGTCTATACCTTCTAAGAAGGTCCATGCTCCCTCAGCCGTGATGTCACACATGTTGGGGATAGACGAGACTAAGGCTACTATAAAGTACTAAGACTAAGGCTATGGGTATACTATGGGGTCTAGTCTGGACACCGGTCGAGATTGATATCGAAAACCAGTCGGGATTCTCTTTCCACTCGACAGCAGAAGAAAGAGCGAGTCTGGCCTCTTCAAATTCCGTCGGCGGAAAGTGAAATGGAAATTCCGTGCGGAAGTGACGTTTATTGCATAGCAACCAGTCTATTTCACCTCTACATTGCTCCAGGCTCAGGGAAAGGGGGTAGTTTGTTGTCAAAGGGGCTGTTTCAAGTGCTTATTACTGGGGATGGCGGTAGGAAAAAAAATCGAGTTCGAGTAAATGGTGAAATGTTTCGAAAAAATACGCTTCTGGGTTTAGTAAAGAGTATGGAAAAAAGAAATGGGGAACGTTAATGGATATTTTAAACGCAGAAAGAAATGGCCTTTTCAAAACTTCAGGTATGTGAAGAAACGTAAACATAATTTTACGTATGATCTTTTGCAAAATGGAAATTTTCTGAAAGATTACATGTTTGTTAACAGGAATTTTATGATTAAAATACATTATTTTGTCTGAAAAGGTTATGCAACAACGTCATAAGTCAAATCATTGAAATATAGCACCGCGTACGCGTGTTTAATATTCCTAATGAATTTGAATCAAAAAAAAATTTAATTTTTAGCAGCCCATGATTATATCAATAATTTTATTTATTCAGGAATTATACCTATCACGTAGCTACAAATATACTGTGTATCGTAGATACCAATAAGCAGTGAGTAAAAAGATAACAAACTTTTAACAAAAGTAATAAGAAGAAAAATAAAAAAATTAAATAACTATAGGATAAATCATAAAACATATTATCTTGCACACACACACACACACACACATATATATATATATATTAACATATGCAGTGAAAGGAAATTGCAATACATATTCCTATTTATACCCTTTTTAAATCGATCCCACCAGTGACCGTGGGGTAAAATCGCTGAACACTGGTAGTTCGGTCCGAGGTCCAAATACTGCGAACGGGTTTGTTGCATTACCAATATATCTCTGATAACCAATATATCTGTCATTACCAACATATTTCTCGTAATTTCCAAAAGCATAAAAAATTAAGGCATACAAAACCTGTTTTAAATAAATAACTGTATGTATATATAAATGTATTATAAACAGTGGCGACTCGTAATAAGCACTGTGGAACTGCAGCACCCCAATTTCCACTTATTATTATTTTTAATATTT